CACGCCTGCAGGTCTCAAAAGAGGAGGCACATGGGACCAATGACAACAGCCTCCCAATTATGCCCCCTTCTCTCCGAAACCATCCCCAGGGGCATGAGTGGCGCGGGCGGAGGCGGCAGGCGGACCGTGGATGAGGCGTGTTCCGTGCGCCTTTCCCGAGTTTTTTCGCGGAAGAAAAAGAAGAGGGCGCGCCCCGGACGCGGAGGGCAGCAGGTGCAGCTGCCAGGGGACTTACTTGAGGAGAAGTTGGCCTCGGAGTGGACGGGAGGGGTGGAGGGCAGGAAGGGCGCGTGTCCCACAAAGAAGGAGCGGAGCGAGCGCTCGGACAGCAGCGGGGAGCGCTGCTGGGAGGGGATATTTTCACAGCTGCCCACGCTGCTGTGGATCTTGAGGTTCAACGGCTTGCTTTTCTTCTTGGCTCTGAAAGGGAGACAGAAAAAAGAAGAGAGGGAAATGTATCTCTAAGCACACACAGTGAGAGCGGGGGAACCCAATCTCCTTAGCGTGGCACCCAGTAACCACTCGCCACCTCCATCTGGCCCTGCCACCCTCTCCGGCTCCCTCCCACTGGGCTCCAGCCACATATTTTGTGCTGCTTCTCACCTCCAACCCTTGGCTTATGCTCTTCCCACGGCCTGGGAAACCCTCCCCTTCTTTGTCGGGTCAAGGCCCCATATGTTTTTTTTACAACTCTGGTGTCCTCTCCTCCAGGAAGCCTTCCTGGACACCCCAGTCCATCCCAACCAGGGTTGAGTGTTCTTCCTACAGGAAGCCTTCCCTGATAGTCCCCCTTTCCTCCTAGCTGGGGTTGGTGTTCCTCCTCCATCCTCCTAAAATATTCTCTATATATCTCTGTGGCTGCACTTTCCTCTATTTTCCAAATTTGTTCTTTTAGGCTCTGTCTCCCAAGTGGACCGAGGGTCTTTGAAGCCAGTGATTCTGTATTGTTCGTTTCTCCATCTTTGGCAACCAGCACAGAGCCTGGCACACAGTAGGTGCTCACGAAATGTTTATTTAATGATCGATATGGATGAAGACGGCCACTCATAACGCTGCATTTTAATTCTCCATCTTCCAGGCCTGTGAGCTCCTTGAGGGTCGGAACTTGTGGTTTTTGTTGTTGGAGCTCTCAGCCCCTAGCTCAGCCCCAGCTGAATAGAATGTACCTCTTGGGCTGGTTCTGAAACATTTCTCCCCTTCCCCAGGAGTTTAGGTGATCAGCTGAAGACAATTTGCTCCAAAATTAACCTCACCGCCTTCCCCCCAACCCCCAACTCCCCCAGTGCCCTGTTCAGGTGTGACGAGGAGTTGGGCTCCCTCTTGTGGCCAAAGCAAACCTGCCTCGCAAATGTTCACAGATCCGGATGGAGGGCCCAGGAAGGGGTGTTCATTTAAGACTAGAGGCCTCCCACACAGGCAGCCTAAAAGTCACCCTCTCCAGGAGGTCTGCTGCCCCTCAGCTTTAAGAAGTTCAAGTGTGCCTGCAGAGTTGCCCCCGGCAGTGCCTGCGCGGGCAGCCAGGAAGGCGCCTCCTGCTAGAGCAGTACGCGCTGGCCGGCTCACCCTGAACCGTGGCTGCAGAAGGGCAGGCAGCGGGGGTGGCGGCATTTCATTCCACACGAGCGTCCAGTGATGGAGAGTCACAGAGGCGTCTACACAGAGGGAGTGCAACGTAGGAGTTACACTCGCAGGCTCTGGGGTCAGGGAGTTTGGAGCCTGGGTCCTGACTGTGACCTCAGGAAAGTGATCTCACCTTTTCGTGCCTCAGTGTTCTCACCTGGACGATGGAGGAAACCACAGCACCTACCTAAGAAGGATGGATGACGATTCTACGGGATCATGTGCTTGGCACGCGACCCGGCACAGAATGAGGGTTCAGGTGACCTGATGTTAACGTCACTATGACCAGGTTCAACTGGCTGTCTGTATAGCAGGGGCTTAACCTTGAAGAAGCCAAGCCATGTTTTTCACCTGAAACATCTAGCAGCTCCCTCAACCCACCACGACCCCTGGCAGATGAAGACGATGCAGTCAAACCCTGCAGCAGTAGGTGCCATGACGATCTCCCAAACACAGACGGCAGCCTTGAGGCACTGGGCCACTAAGTGATGAGGCCAGATCCCTTGTGCAAGAAGAACCAAGTCTATATGTAAAATAGATAACTAATAAGGACCTACTGTATAGCACAGGGAACCCTTCTCAATACTCTCTAGTGACCTATATGGGAAAGGAATCTAAAAAAGAGTGGATGTATGTATATGTGTAACTGAGTCACTTTGCTGCACAGCAGAAAATAACACAACATTGTAAATCAACTAGACTTCAATGAAAAATTTTTAAATTAAATAAAATAAAAAGAAGAAGCAAGTCTAACCCAGCACAGGTGTAATAGTAGCTCAATGCTGCTGCACTCATGGCCACAGATGGAGCAGAGAAGGGCTGTGTATAAATAAATGTTAGTTGGACACACGGATGGATGGATGGATGGATGGGTGGGTGGGTGGATAGAGGGGAAAAGGGTGAAAAGTGGAAGGATGGAATGAAGGACAGAGAGGATGAGAAGATGAAAGAATGGGAGGGCAAATGGATAGAATGAAAGAGAGAATGAGAAGATGGAAGGATGGGGAAGGGGAGGATGGATGGAAGGAAGAATGGATGGATGGATGGATGGATGGAAGGGTGAAAAGGTCAAAGGATGAAAGGGTCAAAGGATGAAAGGGTGAGGGATGGATGGATGTAATGAAGGAGGAGGGGATGGTAGGATGGAAAGATGGATAGAAAGATTGGAGGAAGAGAGGATAGGAAGAAGAGAAAGTGGGAGGATGGATGGCTACTTAATCAGAGAAAGCGGAAGGAAATTCTATGTCGCTTCCCACCCACCAAGGAAGTCTTTGTAGACAGGATGTAGGATTCACCTTTACCATCTGTGCTCATTACCCGGACATGCTTGGAGGGGAAAACAGACACAATCGACTGTGTCTGATGACTGTGACCGTGACTAAAACTTAGTGGCTATGTTTCAGTATATCCTGCAGATGCAGTTAAAAAGAACATCCTTTCCATGATCTTCACAGGATATTAGATATCTATTACATAAATGTATTTTTCTGGAAATGGGGCCAATTCTGGGGAAAGCAGCAACATGAAACACTGGCACGGGCAGCTCCATCCTCTGGGGCTGTATCAGCACTGGGTGGACATGCCGCTTTCTGGAAGGGCTCTCTGACATGGCAGGCTGGACCACAAACTGTGCCTAGGAGAATGTGCTTGTTTTACCAGGGACAGCAAAGGCCTAGTCCAATGTTGGCATCTAGCAAAGTTCTTCCAACCTTCCTGATTTGCATAGCATATTTGAACGAAAAGGATCCTGAGAATTCTCACCTCTTCACATTGGTTCATTACTTTCCATCTCCAGCCCACAGTTCTGGACCAAGCCACCTTCCTCCCTCACCTAAGCTACTGCTGCTGCTGCATCTTAAAATCCTAATCCCACTTTTGTTTCCCTTTGCTTTGTTTTTTTTTGTATTGAGGTAAAATTCACATAAAGTTAACCATTTTAAAGTGAACAACTCAATAGCATTAAGTATTCACAATGCTGTGCAAACACTACCTCTATTTAGCACCCCAAGTATTTTCCTCATCCCAAAAGAAAACCCTCTACTCATGAAACCATTACTTTCCCTTCCCCTTTGCTACAGCCCCTGGCAATCACTAATGTTTTCTGTCTCTAAGGATTTGCCTATTCCAGGTATTTCATATAAATGGAATGAATCATCCAATGTGTGACCTTTTGCGTCTGGCTTCTTTCACTTAGTGTCATGTTTCTGAGGTTCATCCATGTTGTAGCATGTATCAAAACATCATTCCTTTTAATGGCTGAATAACACCATCTGACTTTTAATTCTTTACAATGTATCTTCTACCCAGCAGTTAAAGTGATGTTTAAAAATGGTACATTGTGTCACGTCACCCTCAGCTTAAAAACTTCCAAAGGTTTTCCATTGTTCTCCCTTCCCATGGCTTACAAAAGCTTCATAGCACCCTCAACACCCTCTCTCCAACTTCTTTACCATCACCTTGTCACCCTCTGACTCTGGTCATCTCCCTGGTCCTTGACCACATCAAGTTGTCATCCACCTCAGGGTCTTTGCACATGCTGTCCCTCTGCCTGGGGCGCTATTCCCCATCCTGTTAGTGGAGACCTACTCACCTTTAGGCATCACTTCCTTAGAGACACTGTCCCCAGTGCTCAGAACTAGTCAGATCTCTAGGCTACATGTGCTCCCAGCACTATGTGAATTCTGCATTTATTTATGTGGTTACTGAATGTCTGTCTCCCCCATGGCCTGTGCCCCCCACACACAAGGGAAGAATCTGTATCCCCAGCACCTAACACAAAGCAGGTACGCCACAGCGGCAGAGCCAAGATTAGATGCTGGGTCCACAGATTCCCAACCACGTCCATGTGCCCCAGCTCAGGCTAGGACCTGACATCCTCCATCTGGGGGTCGGGGGCGGGGGGCGGGTGGGGAATTCTAAAGGACTGTGTCCCAGTTTCGATCTGTGAGTCAGGAGGACTGTTTATCAGCATCTTCCCAGTTAATTCTCAAATATGGGCTCCTTGAGGGCGGAGATGCATCATATTTCTTTCGCCAGCCTCTGGCCACCTCTGTCTGGATCTGGCGGACAGCTCTGCACTCATAAGGCTCCTGATCGATGCCCATTTGCCAACTAGCCTCTCAGAGCCTTCATCACAAAGGTTGCCAAGGGAAGTCCCAGACTGATGCTTAGGCTTTGCACCGTTTCCTCTCCCCAAAGTCTGCTGGATTTTGAGCTAAGCCGAGCCGCTGGCTCACACGGCCCCTCAGCTTCCTCAAGTGTGGGGTTGTGTCCCCTTGCACTTGAAAGCCTTCACCAGCCAAACCCCTCAGCATATCATTAACGGGGTCTGGGGCATCTGGCCCTGCCGAATGGCAGGAAATGACAGGGCTGGGAACAGGCAGGCTCCTCGCAGGCATGGCAGGAGGACAGGCACAAACACACCTTCTCACACACCACCCTGGGCAGCAAAGTGCTAATCCAATAGCCATTTCCCCAAACAGGAAAAAAATGCCCGCTGGTCTAACCCGGAGCTGCGTGAGCTGCCCCTCCCCCTCAAACTGGGCCATTTAAATCCTGTGCAGTTGGCCTGATCTGATTACCCAAGAGGAGACCTCCAGGAAAGACCCTTTTCAAAACCAAAGAATAACACCAGTTCTTGGGTGAGAGGGGGTAGAGGTGGGGGGAGTACTTAGGGACCCTCGGCTCAGCTGCTCGAGCCTGGGGAAGGAGGAGGTTTGGAAAAGCCTAACACTGGGAGGATGTGTACTGAGAATCCATTGTGGTCCTTGGCCACAGGCAACAACCCTCATTTCTGGCTT